CACCACAATCCTGGTATGCAACTCTGACCAACTTTTTGAAACTTTCGAAATTTAAACAAGGATCAGTTGATCACACTCTTCTCCGAAAGAAGGTTGGAAATCATTTAATTCTTGTTCAAATTTATGTTCATGATATCATTTTTGGCTCAGCTAACCCTTGCTTGTCTAGTGAATTTTGAAATTTTGATGAAAAGAAATTCGAAACGAGCATGATGGGTAAAATAAACAATTTCTTAGGTTTAAACATTTGCCAGAGCAAAGAATGCATTTTCATAAATCAAGAGAAGTATACTCCTAATCTTCTTGAGAAATTTGGCATGACGAATAACACCAAGATTAGAGTACCAATGGCGGTTGGAACGAAGCTTAGTTCATCATTAGATAAACCTGATGTAGACATCACTGTCACACCCCAAAACCAAGAATGGCGGAAACGTTCTGGGCGGAGGACGTCATGTAAAGTATCACAACACAGTAAATGTAAATAAGCAAACAACATCATCCATTGCATTAAATATAAAATTTTAATACAAGCGTGTTCCGTACAGTTTTAGACACCAAAAATATAATGTAAATCAAAATAGTATGATGAGTCTTGAATGCGCTCCATCTTCTCAAAAGCTAGCATCGGTACCTGTCTACTGATGACCTGAGAATACAAGTTATTTTGAAAGAGTTTATCAGCATTAAGCTGGTGAATTCATAAGTATTTTAGTGTCGAGGTTTTTATCAAAACGTTTGAACCTGTCGCAAGTATGAGTTGTAAATGTATGTAAGTGTTTGTAAAAGTTTGAATCTCTCAGAAAAACCTATATTTTCTGTTAAAGTAGCCCTCTACCAAGGCTTAACTGTTTTGTATGCTCGTTTGATGTAAAAGTGTGTAATTTCCCAAGTGTAACTATCATTTAACAAAATATAGTTTGTACATTAAAGTTTAAGTGAGGTTATCACCAAAATGTAATGGGTAAATTATTGTAGTACGGTAGTTTTGTTTTATAGAACTACTGCTGTACTAACTACCTTAAACCGGGTTTATATTAAGGTATCATGTGATAAATTGCACCATACTATCGACTGGTAACATCGACAACGTATAGTCGAAAAATAAGGTATGACGTTTGGCACCCGCAGACCTGTCGGTCCCACTGTAGCTAGCAGCGAGGTGTAGGATAGTCAATCCAGTATAGATCTATACGCAAACTCACGCTCTCCCTCCAAGAGACTCTGGCTACAACTCGGGTCATGTCAATTAAGACATGCTCCCATACAGTGGATCACAATTGTTAACGTATTCGTGTATATGCAATATAATGTTACTTGTTCTAGTATCGTTGTATATGTTCTCTTAGTAATAAGTATTGACTCCTGAATGAACTGACTCGTTGATCTAGAAATTGTAGTAGTATGATCCCGTGTTACCCCGATGGTAACTTACTAACGAGGTGCTGATAAGTATGAATATGGAAGTACTTTTATGTCATACATGTATATATGATATATAACTAATATTGAAACGACCCTCGGATGGTCACCCGAAATTCCACCAGACCACATCCAAATCGAGGAAAAGGAAATAGGACAGGTGGCTTTCCTAAGCCCTTTAAACATTATTTATACATATACATATATGGGCATGCAAATTTATAATAGTAAAACAAAGTTTACAATAAAGCATTTGATAAGTAAAAGAGTTTGTAAAACATTTTGAAGTAAAACAGTTTGAACAGTGATAAAATCATTGGTTTCCTAGTTATTAATCACATGTGATTAATGCAATCACATGTGATCGAAGCAATAACTATAAGTGTTTAACTTGTATCCCCCCCCCATAAAGTATTTAAAACATTTAAAAGCATTTCAAAGGTTGAATAAAGGGGTATGAACTCACTTGGAAGTTTGAAGATAGCGAGATCGAAAACCGGGCAGAGTTTCGTCTCGGGAAACGGATTTTTCTCGGGATTCTCGGGAATCTCGGGAGTAAAATCGACCCTCGGGACTTGAGCAAAAAGACCAGAGCTTCGGGTTTGAACGGGCACGGAAATCGAGGCAAGATCGTGAGAGAAAGAGAGAAAATGAACAAATTTTTCGGAAAGGCTCGCATCCCTTTTATAGGGGTGCTGAACCGCCTCCGAACGCGGGGCGTACGGGCGTACGCAGCGCGTACCCGTACGTCATCGCTTACGTATTTCGGATGGAGCGGGTCGGATGGGACGGCGGGTCGGGTAGCTTCGCATAGGGCGACGTGGACGATCCGAGGCCGTGCCTCGAGTACGCGGGGCGTACGAGGGTACGCGGCGCGTACCTCGGCCCTAGGCTGACTCCTCTTCGGATAATACCGAATTTTTAATAAAAATTATATATAAATTATTTATCAAACTTCAAAAATTCATATCTCCTTCATACGAACTCCGTTTTCGACGTTCTTTATATCCCCGCGAAGGTGAGACTACGATCTACAACTTTCGTTTAGATTCCGTTGGCAAATTCCGAAATTATTTTTATTATTTATTTATTAAAATGACGTGATTAAGGAATCTCTTTAAAAATTCATAACTTCTTTATCTGACGTCGGTTTTTGCCAGACTTTTTACCGTTGAAATACCATTGTCGAGACCTTCGATTCTCGTTTAGGTCATTCCGGCCAAATGTCGCTCGATCTCCGTTTCGAGTTTTTAGCTGTCTGTTGCTAAGCTGAACTTGGAAAAATCATAACTTCAATATACGAAGTCGGATTTGGGCGTTCTTTTTACGTACGATCATGGTTTAATGAGATTTAAACATAGAAGAATTTAAATAGAAACTTTTTGGACATTTTATTATCAAAGTTAATTTTATTAACTCAAAAATGTTTACAATACTTGACCTATTAGGCCATTACAAAGAGTTGAAATATCGGGTTGTCACATCATCCCCCCGTTAGAGGGAATTTCGTCCCGAAATTCAAAGTAAGAGAACACTCGTGGATTAGGGAAACAGATGTGGGTACTTGCGTTGCATCTGATCTTCGCGTTCCCATGTGAATTCAGGTCCTCGCTTAGCGTTCCAGCGAACCTTCACGATGGGTATGCGACTTTGTTTTGTTTGCTTGACCTCTCGGTCCATGATTTCTACTGGTTCTTCCACAAAATTGAGGCTCTCGTTGATCTCGATCTCGTCGAGTGGGATTACGAGAGTCTCGTCGGATAGACACTTTTTCAAGTTAGATATGTGGAATGTAGAATGTACGTTACGAAGTGCGCCTGGTAGATCGAGTTTGTAAGCTACGGGGCCGACTCTTGCAAGAATTTCGAAAGGCCCTATGTACCTCGGATTAAGCTTCCCACCTTGCAAGCGTATCAAGCCCTTCCAGGGTGAGACTTTGAGAAGGACTCGGTCTCCCACCTGAAATTCCAAAGGTTTCCTTCGTTTATCTGCGTAGCTCTTCTGTCGGTCTCTAGAGGCTTTCAATCGTTCACGGATTTGAACGATTTCTCTGTCGTTTCCCGAATGATCTCCGGACCGGTGAGATACTGTCGGAAGCTTGCCCCTGGCTAATTGGGTATCACCCACTTCAGCCCAGCACAGAGGGGATCTGCACTTTCAGCCGTAGAGGACTTCAAATGGAGCAGCCTTGATGCTCGTGTGATAACTGTTATTATAGGAAAACTCGACAAGGGGTAAATGAGTATCCCATGCCTTCCCAAAGTCAATCACGCAGGCTCGCAACATATCTTCCAGAGTTTGGATGGTCCTCTCACTCTGTCCGTCGGTCTGAGGATGGTAGGCTGTGCTCATGTCTAGCCTTGTCCTAGGGAATGTTGTAGTGATTGCCAAAATCTTGAGGTAAACCTACTATCTCTATCGGAGATAATGGACATAGGTACACCATGTAGCCGTACGATTTCCCTAATGTATGTTCTCGTAAGTTTCTCCATCTTGTCGGTTTCTTTGATAGGTAGGAAGTGTGCAGACTTGGTCAATCTATCGACGATGACCCATATGGTATCAAGTCCACCCGTTGTCTTGGGCAACTTGGTTATGAAATCCATAGTGATCCGCTCCCACTTCCATTCTGGGATCTCTGGTTGTTGCAATAAACCAGAGGGCTTCTGGTACTCGACCTTAACCTTTGCGCAAGTAAGGCATTTACTCACGAAGGTAGCAATCTCTGCTTTCATATTAGGCCACCAGTATAGCTTTTTAAGATCCAGATACATCTTATCTGAACCTGGGTGGACGGAATACCGAGTGTTGTGCGCCTCGGTCATGACCAAGTCTCGGAAACCACCGTGTTTCGGTGTCCAGATCCGATCCATGAAATACAAGGCTCAGTCACCCTTGGCTTCTAAATTCTTGTCCATTCCTCTTAGGGATTCACTCGTCACATTTTCAGGTTTCATGGCTTCAAGTTGGGCCGTCTGAATTTGATTAGACAAGTGTGAATGGATGGTTATTGACAATGACTTGATTTTTCGACTAGAATATTCCTTCCGACTGAGGGCGTCTGCTACTACGTTGGCTTTACCCGGATGATAACTAATATCGCATTCGTAATCACTGAGTAGCTCGACCCACCGTCGTTGTCTCATGTTGAGCTCCTTTTGATCGAAAATGTGTTGTAAACTCTTGTGGTCGGTAAAGATAGTGCTCTTCGTTCCATACAAGTAATGTCTCCAGATCTTCAGAGCAAACACCACTGCTCCTAGTTCAAGATCATGGGTCGTGTAGTTAACCTCGTGTGTCTTCAACTGCCTCTAGGCGTAGGCGATGACCTTACCTCGCTGCATTAGGACACATCCG